GGAAGAAGTCTATTTGAAACAACCCCCAGGGTTTGAATGTCACGAGCACCCTGAATATGTGTTCAAACTGGACAAAGCTTTATATGGGCTAAAGCAAGCTCCTCGAGCTTAGTATGAAAGATTGTCAAAATTCCTCTTAGAAAATGGTTTTAAATGAAGGAAAATTGACAACACTCTTTTCTTAAAGAAACGAGGAAGGAACCTGCTCATTGTTCAGGTTTATGTTGATGATATCATTTTTTGGGCAACAGCTGACTCGCTGTGTGAAGAGTTTGCAAAACTTATGGGAAGTGAATTTGAAATGAGCATGATGGGAGAATTAAATTTCTTCTTGGGTCTTCAAGTAAAACAGTCCCCAAAGGGTACTTTCATTTGTCAGCAAAAATACATCAGGGAACTTTTGAAGAGGTTTGACATGGAAGCATCGAAGGTGATAGACACTCCCATTGCAACTGCCACTCGACTGGACATGGATAAAGCTGGAACTCCTGTGAATCAAACCATGTATAGAGGCATCATTGGGTCTCTCCTCTATCTCACTGCCAGTCGACCTGATATTGTTTTCAGCGTGGGGCTGTGTGCAAGGTTTCAATCAAATCCCAAGGAATCTCACTTGAAGGCTGCTAAAAGAATACTGAGATATCTCAAAGAAACGCAGGACCTGGTGTTGTATTATCCATCAGGTGACAGTTTTAATCTAATTGGGTATGCCGATGCAGACTATGCAGGTTATCTTGTGGACAGAAAAAGCACTTCTGGAATGGCTCACTTCTTAGGCTCATGTTTATCTCTTGGGGTACAAGAAAGCAAAATTCAGTGGCTCTTTCAACAGCTGAAGCTGAATATGTAGCTGCAGCATCTTACTGCGGTCAGCTTCTATGGATCAAGCAACAACTGGAGGATTTTGGGGAACTCACTGAGAGTGTGCCCCTCCTGTGTGACAACACTAGTGCACTCAACATGGCCAAGAATCCAGTTCAACACAAAAAGACAAAACATATTGATGTGAGGCATCATTTCCTGATAGATAATGTTGAGAAAGGGTTGATATGTATGAAGTTCTGCAGCACAAAAGATCAAATTGCAGACATTTTCACCAAAGCACTAAGTAGGGAACAGTTTGAAAGAAACAGAGTAAAGCTGGGACTGTTGAAGCCGAATTAAGAACCTGATTCCTCCTTGGCTGGCTCGTATCCTTAAGAAATAACTGGCTCAAAGTGTTTTCTGGTTTTGTCTAACTCACTTCAATACCGTTGCAGGTAAACACGCATGATGAGCATAGAAGCAATAGATGCAGTGCATGACTGATAAAAGAGGATTGATACTTTTCAAAAAAAAATCAAGAACCAGGTTCTTGTACCAAAGGTTAGTAGCTCTGTGGATCGTTTTAATACACATCTTATAAAGGGTACAAAATACAACTGCCATGTCATCAACTTTCAGATCCTACTGTCATGTCCCTTCAATTCAAAACGTTCCATCTCCCTCTGAAACATCGCAATTCTCCACGCCCAACCGCCGTTTCAGAACTGGTGCCTATTCCTCTCCCCTCATAATTATCCTCTCCTTTTAAAAACCCTCTCTACTTCTCTTCCTAACCATAAGTCCTACTCTAAAAATCACCCAAAAGAGAAGGATCGTCACACCACTTCTTCCAATGGCTGAGAAAACTTTCGATCTTTCTGCCTCAGCTATGACTATCACTGACCCATCTATGGAACCTCACTGAGCCTTCGTCATCCTCCAACACTCCTGTGACTGATGTCATACCTTCCCCCGTCTCCCAATCTCTTCTCACCTCAGAAATCCTTGAAACTACCGCTCTGTTCTCCACATCGTCTGTTGTTCCCATCAGTCAAACCCTAAGTGGAGAACAAGGTCACAACACTGAGTTCCCAAAGGGTTCTGCCGTTGTTGCCGCTGATTCTATGGTTGTGAAAGCACCGGTTGAAGAAGAGAAGAATGTCGTATCTATGTTTGTAGTATCCGCTGATGGGATATTGCATGAAATTACTTCCCAAAAAAATGGGTCATTCAGTGTGGGAGAAGAAGGGGCATTATGACTGTTGAAAAGGATGTAGATACTCCTGAGGCACCACATGCGGAACCTGATTCCTCTCTGGAGGACCCGGGTCAAGGCTCCCATTCGTAGGTCAGTGTTGTTCCTACATTCGATGTGGTGCCCCTGGAAATTCAAGCCCCTGAAATGCGATCCAGTGATGAAGAAGACCTGAACAATGTGGCCCTTGATGCATTCATATGTAAACAAAGGGTTGCCTCCACCACTGAGTCTGAAATCAAGCGATCTACTACCAGACTTCAAGTCAAAGTGGCCTACGACTCTGCTCTCCAAAAGAGCAAAAAAAGTAGTAAGAATAAAAGACGAAAGTTGGTAAAGGATGGGGTACCTGTCAATTATAAAGCTATTCCTGTAGTCGAGGTGGAAGAGGGAACTCCTGAGGAACCTGGTTCCCTTGTTACGCGGTTCTCGAAAAGGATAGAGCATGGTTCAACGGAGAAAGGTTCAACATCCAAGTCCAAAGTGAAGGAGGTAGTGAGTGATAAAGATATACTAGTCAAGTCCAAGGGCAAAGGGAAAGTCCGTGGAGAAAAGTTTAGGAAACGCAAGTCTGAAACTGTTGGAGAACCTAGTTCTGGGAAGAAAGCAAGAAGTGAGGTCTGCCTTGGGTCTGAGCGCCTAAGGCATCAAAAAGTTCTGTTGGGTCGTACGTTTGACCCGACAATCTCTGAGATGGCCGGTATGCGGCAAATTTTGGGAATGGTTGAGTTTCAACAATGGGTGCATCTATTTCACATTGATGCACCTAAAGTGTATGAGGAGGAGGTACAAAGTTTCTTCGCTAGTCTCTTTCCAGTTGATACTGACCATGTCTGTGCTTTGGTCAATGGGGTAGATATCGTCTTTGATGTGAAATTGCTTGGAGAGATTTTGAACGTTCCTACAGTTGAGGTTTCAAGTGTGCGAGATGTCTGTCAGTATAACTTCAGAAATGCGGTGGTGAAAGACAATGCTAATCAGAAAGAAGACCAGATATATAAGAAAGCACTACTTCCTGTCTACCAGCTGCTGTTTGAGTTGGTTAACAAAGTTCTGTTGCCTAGAGCAGAAAGGAGGTCTGTAACTTCTAAGTCCGGCCTATTCCTAATGGAGCAACTGGACGGTTTCAACCCTGTAAATCTGCCTGCCATAATGATTGAACACATGCAGAAGGTTGCCAATTTCAAGGACGGTAATCATGGGCTTCCCTATGGATTCTTGCTTACTCTGGTGTTCAAGTTCTTCAAGGTTCCACTGGGAACAGGTAAAGTGGGGACCCGAAAGCAGACATTCACACAGACAACCTTAGAAGAGTGCGAATGTATTGAGAAGTGTGGGGGGATAAGAAGTACATCAACTGTTTCTCAGCTCATCAATGCCCAGAACTCAACAGTTGAGGAAATTCGTCGGTTGAAGGCCAGAAATGCTATCCCGGAAGGTCAGCAAGCCCAAAGGGTTTCCATGTCAAATGATGAAGTGGTTCGTTTGACAAAGGAAAATGTTGATCTCAAGGCTCAAGTTGAGAACCTGAAAGCTGAACTGCTCAATGAGCAAAAGTCGGGTAACGCCCGAATAGACCTTGTTATCTAGAAGCATTTTGATTAGGAATCCTCTTGTAAATCCGTAAACTCCTTGAGTTTATGTTGTGACTAGATTTAGTCATAAGGAAAAGTCTTTGTAATCGTAGAGTTACAAAGTGGCTTGTGGTGGTAGCATCACAAGTTAAAAAAAGCCTTTGTAACTAGGATAGTCACAAAGTGGCTTGTGGTAAAGGTACCACAAGTTAGTTGAGTAAATCCTTTGCAATAGGAAGTATTGTAAAGTGGCTTGTAATGGGTAGATTACAAGTTAATGAAGTTAAAAGCCTACAGGTGTAGGTCGTGGTTTTTTGATCCCCTTGTGTGGAATTTTTCCACGTAAAAATCCTCTGCCTCATTTACTTACTGTTTCATTAACTGTTCTCAATAGAATCTTGTAGAGAATGAGGTACTCTACGATTTAGTGGACCCATACAAATTAACTAAAACGGACTAAGCTCAATAAATGGCCGGTTCTATAACCAGCCCAACCTTGGGCGAGTCAATAACCATCCCAACCTTAGGCTAGTTGAGCATGTCATTTAGGCTTGGACCAAATTTGACAATCCTAATTTTCATGCAATTGCTTTACTTTGTGCATGCAAAACTCAATATGCCTAGAAGAGACTTTTTCCATCTGCATGACACAAAACCATAAAGTAGTACTAGTTACTAACTCTTTTTTCCAAGTGATGGATAAAATATACATAAGTGTAGTTTTTCGAAAGAAAAAAGTTAAGGCTAATTTAACTTTCCACTAAGAGGTCATTTGGTATGATGGATAAACAAAAATAATTCTGAGATAAAAATTAGGTATCGTCTTATCCCTTGTCTTATACCTACCAGAAGGTGGAATAGTAATTTCAGGAGAAGTTATCTTAGAATAAAATATTAAAAAAACATAACTAATCCTAACATAACTAGTCCAGTATAACTGTCTTCAAACCAAAGGATCCCTTAGTAGCTCTTGGTGAGTTAGTGAGTTAATACTTATAAAAGAAACTTAAAATGGAAGTTAAAAAAGATTGTAAAACTTAGAACTTTTCTAAAAAGGTTAAACAAATCTAATACGAAAATTAAGTGAGTTCTAAATGTCTTTCTTTTAATTCTTTCGAATATTCATGAATTCAATTGTTAGAAACTTGTTAACAGAGTTTTTCTAATATTTAATTTTTTTACGAACAAAACGTGGCAAGAACATGCACGATACACATTAATAAAATCGGGGCAAGATCAATGGATGTTATACATTGATTCCAAAAGTACCTTCATTAAAAAGCAAGGTACAATACATCTGAGCAGTGATATTACTCTTGAGTCCCTGACTATATTATTTACACTGAGAAAGTAGAAAGGCACTGTACTTATATATACCCTTTTCTTAAACCCATAATAAGACCTAGCCGCTTCTCATTTTCTTGCCTCTTAAACCCTGAAACTCTGTTTTCATCAGGTTTGTTCCTTTTTTTTTTTGTGTGTGTGTTTTTTACTACCCTTCTTATAATTTTATACCCCTTATTATTTGTTTGTTCTAGAACTTGTTGTTGTGTGATTAATAATGTGTATTTTGTTATGGTTCTTGATTTTTTGTTAATAAATGAGACATTGTGAAGTCTTGGAGTTCTTATGGTTTTATGTTTAGTTTGTATATCAAAGAATTTTTACTCGGATAATGCCTTGTCCTTGAACGGGAGTCTTGGCGTTATTAGTAAAGTTGTCCCTATGTGATAGGAGGTCACATGTTCGAGCCGTGTAAACAGCCTCTTGCAGAAATGCACGGTAAGTCTGTGTATAATAGACTCTTGTGGTCCGGTCCTTTCCCGAACCCTAATGATAGCGGGAGCTTAGTGCATCGGACTGTCCTTTTTGTAATGCTTTGTCCTTGTGATTAGTATCATATTGTTGTTACTTGTGGTGTTTTTTGGTTGTATGTATGAGTCTATTTATTTGTCTAGGCTGTGTAACTGAGTAATTTTTGCTTTAGATGAAGACCCTTTAGATATTTAGTGAAGAAAGTAGAGTTAAAAGTGTGTGATGATTTTTCTGTTTTGAAATAAAGGTTCTTGAAAGTTGTCTTAATTTCTTATTTGATTTAGCGAAGTATTGAGTATTGGTGAATGATTAGGTAGTTAGTTAGCATTGCCAGAGGTTATTTTTATCTATTAGCCAATATGGTTGTGATAATTGTGACCTAAGCTATAATATTTGGCCAGAAATGTAATATTTGTGTAGTGTATGTAGTTATGGCGTCATATATTTAGTAACTTTTCCTAGGGGTCAAAGGGGGAAGGGCTAAAGAGCTTGTAGATTTCACAGTGTAATGCAGGTTTTCATAAAATGTGTTTGCTGATTTTTGGCACTATGCCTATTTTCTGAGTATGTAGCTAAATGAATGAAATGTGCATCGTTTAGTCGTGTTGTTCTTCCTATTGAGTTTGCTTATCGAATAAGTAGTTGATTATAGCATAACTGTAGGACTCACACATTGCTATAAGACCACATTGCCATTGGTATCTTTTACCAGCCGCATATTTACCAACATGATTCGAATAAAAAGCCGATTCCAATAGTTGTGTTGGGAACTTACGGCTCTGAATAACGACACATATTATTTACAGAAAAGGAATTGTGTTGTTCTTCCTATTGAGTTCCTGCAGCAAAATGTGTTTGTTGATGTGTGGCACTACCTTTGTTTAGCTTTTCTAGTGAGTTTGCTTATCAAATCAACGATTTTGATGTTTTAACAGATGAAATTGCTAACCTGTTTTTCATATTCTTATAGATATATCTGACGTTATCTGCACAAATGGCTTTCTGCAACAAACTTAGTGGTCTTTTGAGGCAGAGCATTTCTACAAGCGGCAATGCATTGAATGCACAAGCACCAGCTGCGTCAATGCTTAATGCCATGCGTTGCATGTCAACAAAGCTTTTCATTGGGGGTGTGTGACTAGTAGTCTGAAAATTCATTTTACTTTTTCAGTTTATAATACTCTGCAACTTGTAAATTTTGCTTATTTTTTCCTACACTTTATAGGTCTTTCATATGGAACTGATGATCAATCTTTGAAGGATGCCTTTGCCAGCTTTGGTGATGTCGTTGATTGTGAGTTCCGAGCTATCTTGAGCCTATTTTTAATTTCTATTTTTTATACAATATAAGCAAGTTGGATGAAGAATATGTTGTCGTTTTCGAGTGTTTGGATTAGTCAACGTTGTAGTCGCACTAGCATTTGCGCTCCTGACATACCGCAACCCCAACCCCTTTTTCGTCTAACCTGTTATAGGTTTTTGCTGTTTTGAATTATGCCTTTGTATTAAACACTCGAACCTTGTGATTGTGGCACAGCTAAGGTTATCACCGATAGAGATACTGGAAGATCGAGGGGTTTTGGGTTCGTGAACTTTACAGATGGTGAATCTGCAAAGGAAGCTATGACAGCAATGGATGGACAGGTAATACATGAGACCATTCAATATGCAAGTGGAATTTCACCCTCCATTTATGCTTTTATCGGGTCTAGGTGCTTTTGGTGTCGTTGCACACGTTTAGGATATGCTGATATTTTGATTTTCTTGATTGTTCTTGGCTGATATCACATTATGATCCGTCCAGGAACTCAACGGGAGGAACATCCGCGTCAGTCTTGCCCAAGAGAGAGCTCCTCGCAGCGGTGGTTTTGGTTCTGGTGGTGGCGGATATGGTGGTGGTTATAGTGGATCTAGAGAAAATGACGGATTCTAATTGTTCTTGAGGCATTGGCTAATTTTCGTAGGGTAGGACTCCTACCGTAGGAGATAGGAATTAACGCGATTTTGTATTGAATGATTTCTATGTAGCTTTTCATATATGCTTCTATATTAAGTTTTTTCATATGATACTTGACTGTTTCTATCTTCTACTAGCTATTTATAACTTTATAGTAAACATTTCCCGGGACTTTGGTCTAAGTGGTAAGAGCACAATGTGTCATGTGTCGGTTACACACATCATGGGTTCAACTAAGATAAAAGCTTGGTATATAAGTGGAGAATAGAGGATTAGATTCACTATCCATTGAGTTGACGCCACTAAATGAAAATATGGGTGGTTCGCACAAACATTCATTCTTAAGGCTGTTATTTAAGGATTAGCCACTACTTATTTTATTTTGAAATTTTAAATGGAAGCTGAAATTCAGGGTACATGGCTAATTCCTAAATAATAATCTTTTAGAGTGGCTAGGTGGTGTCATTTCTACCGAAATATGACTTAGGACTAGGGGTGTACATGGACCGGATTGGTTCGGTTTTTATCAAAACCTAAAAACCGAACCAAACCAACTATATCGGTTTGGATTGGTTCGGTGTTGGATTTTTCCGGTTTTTTGGTTTTTGGTTACATGAATGTTATTTCAATCTTATTTTGTTAAAGTTTTTATACGTAAATATATATTTTGTAAAGATTGAAAAATTTAACAAACATATGATCTATTAACATATTCTTATGAGAGAATTTTCTTAATAATATATGATAGTTTTTTAGTCTGACAATAATTTTTTGTTGATGTACACTTTCAAGGTTAACTGAATTTAATAATTAAATATAAAATCAATATGATACCTACATAATAATATGTTCTGTTTAATTTTAAATTATCGAAATACCACTTCTAATTCGAAAAAGATATATAAATTTAATAGATCTTGACATATGAATATGAAAGAACAAAAAGATTGATGCAATTCACTAACACTTGATAAGAAAGTGATCATACAACCCATTATTTAGAGTTTGTTTGGAAAGTCACCCTGTAATTGGAATTGGTGTAATTACTAGGGTAGTAATTACACAGCCTGGTTATTACACAGTTGTGTAATTACGACGACATGTTTGTTTGTCATAGTGTAATTGCAGTGTAATTACAAGTTTACTGTTTGGTTGCAAGTGTAATTACACAGTTAGATTAAATTTTAAATTAAATAATTATCAAAACTTAAAAGTTGATATAATAAATATATGCCTATAACTGTTTATAAGTATAAATGATATTATATTTGGTATTTAAGATGTATATTTTTTCGTGAATATACATTAATTAGTAATCATATATTTATAATATTATAAAAACAATTTATATTTCTTTTTAATTAATAATATCTAGTTTAGATACTTACAAAAACTAAAAATATATGTTTTGTAAGAACGTAATGGAATTCATGTTTGATAAAATAAATTAATATTTATAAATATAATATGTCATAACATTATTCAAATGTTTGACAAAACTAATATATCAATTCTATCTAAAAAATGAACAACATGCAATGTGAGCCAATATTACTAAAACAAGTAAATCGGAACCATGAATATATCACAATATCAAAATTCAAAAATAAATAAAATAGTTTAACATATGTCAAATTCCAACATAATAATAGTAAGTTTCACTGCAACTTAAGATTAGGAAACATGATAAGTTTATAACTACATTCAACAACGAAATTTTTTAATTGCATCACTCATTATATGCAAAGTTTGTTAATGACTCATTATTTCTAATATTAAGACGTGTAGTTTCAAAAACTAGAATAATAAAATAAATAAAAAATAAAATATAAGCAATTACATGGAATCACAAGAAGTAAAGATAGAGAAATAAAAAATAAATAATGAACAAAGAAAAATATATTTTAAAATTTCAAAAGAAATTAAAAATTAAAAATAAAATTAATAAATTAAAATAATAGGAATAAAAAGTTATAAAGAAAACAAATTGAAATAAAAAGAAAAAGGAAAGAAACTAAAAAGCAACCTTGTAATTACAGTATAATTACCACCAATTCTCACCTCTCCCTTGAGAATTAGAGAGTGTAATTACATCCCTCCAATTACACCTAATTCCATGCTGATCAAGTAATTACATGGCCAAACAAACATGCCAAACTGTGTAATTATACCCAATTACACCCAAATCCATTTCCAAGGCGGCTTTCCAAACAGGCTCTTAAAGTTAATAAAATAGAGCACTTCATATTTAACTAAATATTACATCCCATAAGAGAATCACAAATATTTCTAGACATTTTTTAAACAAAAATCTATGAAAAGGTCTAAAAGTATATATATATATATATATATATATATATATTTATATGTCGGGTTGGTTCGGGTTTTTTTACTCAATACTAAACCTAATCGGATTTTTTAATCGGTTTAATTTGACTTTTCAATTTGGTGCGATTTTCCGATTCGGTTTGTACACCCCCTACTTAGGACTAATAAAAACTTAACTAAATTTACCTTGTACAATGAGGATAGAATTGTATGGATTTGTTCACTAAGCCCAGAAAACAAGCCCAACTAACTTGTGTGGCCCAATTCAGACAAAGTTCATCCTAAGTCAATTTGCCTATCCCCTCGAAGAAATACTTCTTTTCTTAGTATTGGCATCCTATAACAACACATAACAGAAATTGGCAATTTTTTAGCCTTATATTAGGTTTGGCAAAGATAGCCCCAAACAATTGGCATTATATATAAAAAAAGAACCACTTGCTCTCTCAATGCTCTTGGCGTAAAGTAGTTAACCTACGCCGGTGTGGCTATGGCAGGGGCGAGAGGTAGGTGGTGGTCAAGGAAGAGGACGAGGTAGACCAAGGAAGTTATCGATCATCAATTTTGGAAGTACAGCTGGGAATCATAGCGCATATCCAAGGAAAAATGAGGAAGATGTGACAATATCCCCTCATGCACAAAGGGGATCTTCAAAAGTGAATCAAGGAGAAGCTTCAACTGGACACATGCAGGAGATCCAAATGAGTTCAGAAGCAACAGTGAAAGGAACAAATCTAGAAATGGAAGCAGCAAAGGAAATTGGGGTTACTCCAGAAGCACTAATCAACGAAACAGTAACACCAATAGAGGTGAGGAAGGAGCAACCAAAGACGGAGGAGAATTCAGCGCGGGTAAATCTATTGGCATGGCCCTAACCTATATCCCACCACAAGTTATCAATGGTCAAGTAATTGTTCAATTGGATAGGGAAGAAGTTGACAGAGAAACTTAAAAGTGGAAAGGGGCGTTAATAACTTATGTACTTGGGGATTTGCCGGGATATAATGTCATGAAGAGATATATATAGAGGTAAATTGGAATGCTATCCCAGAACTAGATCTGTGTATGCATGAGGATGGATACTATATCATCAAGTTTAAGACGAAAGCAGACATGCAGGAGATTTTATATTCTAAGGCCATATAATCAATAATAGACCTAATACCCTTAAGCAATGGACAACAGATTTTGACTTTGAGAAGGAATTCCCTACAGAAATTCCGTTATGGATCAGATTTCCTAAACTTCCATTGAATTGCTGGGGGTTAATTCACTAAGTAGGATTGCTAGTTCAATTGGATCTCCTATGTATGCTGATGAATGTAATGCTAAACAGTTAAGAGTCTCCTATGCATGGATTCCAATTGAAGTTGATGTGACCAAACCTCTACTGGATGAAATAACTGTAGAGGATCCAAATGGGAGAACCTTCTTGCAACCAATCATTTATGATTGGAAACCAAAGTTTTGTGATAAATGCCAAGTTATTGGACATAAGTGCCAGCAGGAAGGAAGAAGACAGAGCAGCAGTATGGAGTACCTATGAATGAGAAAAGAGGGCCAAAGAAAATAGTCCAACAGTGGATCACTAAAGAGAAAGGCAAGACAAAGCATCAAATAGATGAGGAATTTATGCCAGGAAAAGACCAAGCCATTCATCATCAGGTGGAAACAAGTGTCACAGATGCAGGGCAAGGATCCGGGGAGGTGAAGAATAATATGCAAATGCAACAAAAAGACAAAACACCAAGTGCTACAAACAGGAGTAAAGATGTGGAAAGTACAATCCCAGAATTGAATGATATCAACTTCCCAGTGCTTGGTTCAGTTCCAGTGAGGAATGGGTTTCAAATTCTGAGCAGAGAGGTGAAAGAGGCTTATACTGAACCTCCTGATATCGGAGGTAAATCAAAGAGATCGGCATGACTTGGCTAGTGTGGAACATAAGAGGACTGAATAAGAGGTATAAGCAGAAGGAAGTACAGAAAATTTTGAAAACAAAAAAAATAGGAATAGCTGCTATTGTAGAAGCAAGGGTTAAGGAGAATAAGGCTGAAACTATTAATAGAAATATAGCTCCAGGATGGAATAGATTATATAACTATTCAGCTGCTAGTAATGGTCGAATATAGGTAATATGGGATACCATTAGGTGATTTTGGACTTGGGAGCGCGTCCTGAATGTATTTGGAGGTCTTTGGTAGATTTAGGCTTGAATTGGCGAAGTTGAAATTTTGGCATTTTCCGGTCGGCAGTGGAAATTTTGATATCAGGGTCGGAATGGAATTTCGGAAGTTTGAGTCGGTCTGTTGTGTTGTTTGTGACGTGTGTGCAAAAAATTCAGGTCACTCGGATGAGGTTTGATAGACTTTTTGATCGAAAGCGGAATTTGGAAGTTTTGGAATTTCTTAGGCTTGAATCTGATGATGATTTGATGATTTGATGTTGTTTTGAGTGTTTCGAAGGTTGGAACAAGTTTGAATGATGTTATGGGATATGTTGGCATGTTTGGTTGAGGTCCCGAGGGCCTCGAGTGAGTTTCGGGTGGTTAAACGGATCAAATCTTGTTTGGAGAAGTTGCAGATTTTCTGTTGTGTGTGTTGCAGAGCTTTGGCCTTCGCGTTCACGAGAGGGTTCTCGCGTTCGCGAAGGGATGTGAAGTGAGGCAGTCAATTTGGCCTTCGCATTCGTGATGTTGATCCCGCGTTCCCGAAGGGTGGGGTTCAGTGTACATCGTGAACGCGATGATGTTCCCGCGTTCGCGTAGAGTAATTGGAGAAGCTGGGTCCTGGTCATTTGTGATTCGCGTTCGCTGGGTGTGTCGTGTTCGCGATAGTCTG